TGAATATGAGAGTTGCCACCTCAGACTCAAATTTGTAGGTCATGGGGGACCGCCACAGTTAGCACATGTGACTCTTTAGAGCAATTGGATTGAGTATGCCCAGGTTGGGCACAGAGGGCAATCTGGCTGTGGAACGGCAATGCTCGACAGGATGTTCTAACCGCCAACAGTTTTGGCATTGACAAAGGGAGGGATACTCCAATGTAAACATTCAAGAGGTTATGTCTACGGATAGTATTTTTGGCAAGATTTGTGGGGTTCTTACGATGACCTCGGAGAGTCGAGTAGCACAGTACTGATAGCCCGTGAAACAGGCAAGCTATTCTCCCAGTCTGACCAATTTGTTATAGATAAGGCAGTTTCCTGAGGAGATACAGATGGTTCCAGTGCAAGTTTAGAAGGGGTTGGGGAAGGGACAAACGAAGAAGCATGCAAAATAAGTCGAGGGCGAAGTCCCAAGGCAGGGGAGTTCCTCAGCATTGGGTGCGTCTTAATGGTTAATGGTTAAAAGCAAGATAAATGTGCTAGACATCTAAGGTCATGTAGCACTATAGTTAATGTTAGTGAAGGGTGGTTGAGTTAGTGATTAGTTGTCTAAGCTGGGCAAAGGAATTAGTGAGTGAAAGGGTTAAGGTCGGGTGTTATATTAGATAAAGGGTGTGCTTAAGAAAGGTTTCTTGAGGCATACAATAGATGGGTTATAAGAGGAAAGGATATGATGGTCAGGTCTGTGGGAGCGGAAACCGCGAATATTCCAATGAAGGATAGTTTTACTTTCGTTGATTTAGTGATATAGATTGTAGTACGTGTTGGAGAATTTGAAGGGGAAGCAGCTAGAGGGTGGGATAAGGACTGAGAGGTTTGAGATGGGAGAGGTGTGGGAGTTGGTGTTCTATCATGAGGGGTAGTAGGAGATGGAGGGTCTGAGGAAGGGGATACTTGTGACATAAGGGATTCACGTGTGTATCCAGGAGGGAGTGGAAGGGATAGAGGGGATGGTGGGAGAGTTAATGTGGGCAGGGTTTGGGGTCAGGGGGGATGGGCTGTGTTGGGAGGGGGTAGGAGGGTAGGGTGTAGGGGGATATCGTTAGGAGGAGGATGGATATCAGCAATTACTTGGAGTGTGGAAGGAGCAGGAGTTTGTAGTTGAGTGTCGGTTTTCATTAAGTAATCTTGAATATTTTCAATAGTTTCTTCTGTGGAGTTGGTTGGGGAGTTTTGGGGATAAAGGATTTCTTGTGAGGGGGGGAGGAGAGGACTGGTGTCTCAGAGTACGGGCAAAGGATGGTGGGGGTGATTGTGTGTGTAGGGGAAGGGGGGGGTGGAACGTTTGTTCTGTCTGTTACGGGGAGTGCGAGGAGGGAGAGGGGAAGGTGTTGGGGTTGTAGTGGTGATTGGAGTATCTGTAGTAGAGATTGGAGTTTCTGGATTTAGGATGGCAAAAAGAGTTTGACTGGGGAAGGTAGGTGGGTTAGTGGGGGGGTTAGATGTAGGAGGGGTGGGTTTAGGAGAAGTGTTAGGGTGAGCAGTATTACTGGAGTAAGGAGTAAGAGAGAATCCACGTCGACGTGCTTCCTGTCTGGCTTCACGCAGTGTGAGTCCGAGTTTGAATCTGAGAGTTGCTTACCTCAGATTCAATTTGTAGGTGGGACAGCCCCTATAAAATACATTATGGGGGCCGCCACAGTTGGCACATGTTGCGTGATTGTGCAGAGCAGTTAGATCGGGTATGGCCAGGTTGGGCACATAATGGGCATCTGGCTGTGGAACGGCAGTGTTTGGCTGGGTGTCCTAGACGCCAACAATTTTGGCACTGACGTGGAGGAGGTTGGTATGGACGAACAGGGAGGGATTCTCCTCCTATGTAGACGTTAAAGGGAAGGTCATGTCTACGGAAGGTAATTTTGGCTATGTTAGTGGGTTTCTTTCGATGACCTCTGGGGGGGGATGGAATAGCATTGTACTGATGTTGCATCGTAGTCTGTGAGACAGGCAAGTAGATCTTCTCCACAATCTGACCATTCTTTGTCATAGATTGGGCAATTTGTTGGTGAGATTGAGACTGTTCCGGTGCAAGTATTGAGGGTTGGATGGGGTTCTGCTAGGATGGGGTTACCATATAGGTCAGTTAGTTTTGTTTAATGCTATGGCTTGGTTTTCGGATGTTACTGTTACAAGACGGGAGCGGTCGGGTCGGCTACGGAAAGAGACTTTACCTACTTGTTTTTGGAGGCATTGTTGGAAGAGAAGGGTGTTGTTAGAGTAGGGAGCTGTGGGAGGGATCACGAAAAATCGGTCCCATTTGGCTGCACTGAAGAGAGTATTCAGATTGTTTTAGAGATAGGGGTGGTAGAAGGGCGAGGGCGTGACGAGATGGAGTAGTGTTGATGGAGGTAGTGTTATGGAGAGGTGGGCTATAAGGTTGTAAGGTATAATAAGGGAGGATGGGGTGGTTGATGTTGGAGGTTGTGGGGGTAGAGGTGTTGAAGTTGGGCATGCTGGGAGAGTGGAAATGTCCCTTGAGGGTTGATTGTTGGCTACTGTAATAGTAGGCATTGGTGAAGGGGGTAGTTTATTGCAGTGTTTGGAGCTGTGGGTCAAAGGAGAGCCGGGGGTCGGGGAATCGGGTGGGTTTACTTCGTTGGGGCTATTTGATAAAGGGGCAAGCCTCATTGCCCCTAACAGTGGGGATATATTTTCATTACTGGCCATGGGAAGCCTGGATTATGTTGGGGATAAAAGCAGTCCACCCCTCAGGGTCCCCTTGAGGGGTAAGGGCTAGGCAACTAAATCAGGGGAATACCGTGCCATGGCTCCCTCAGGCCGTTCAGGACTAGCACAAAGTCAGCCTTTCATCCTTTCAGCACGGCTCTCACACCTTAGGTGGATAGCAGAAGGGTTTGGTGAAGGGACAGAAACAAAAGTGGGAAGGGAAAAAAAAGACCATGCATAATTAGTTGAGTCGAGGGCTGAGTCCCAAGGTTGGGGAGTTCCCCATCATTGGGTCCCAGTCTCCGCCTCCTAAGCCCCCCCACGACAACAACGGGCAAGGGATTGGGGGGGTGGGTGCGTCTTCGCCTCCTAAGCCACCCCCTCCCCCAACAATGAACAAGGGGTTGGGGGGGGGGGGAGGTGTAATTCACAGGGGTTTGCCATTGCATTCACTTGTGTACAGGTCTGAAGTTATGCTTAAGGTGCAAGTGATTTTAATGTCAAGTGGCATCATACAAGTCAAATTTATTGAAACTTTACTTGGAATTTGTTTTTTCCCCATTACTAACTTGTGCTTCACACTACCAAAAACGCCAAAATTCAGCTCTAACCTTACTGAATTGATTTTCAAGTAGAGTACTCAGTTTAAACCCTGATCGAAAGTTGGGCAAGTAGGTGTTGTAACAATCAGGGAATGTTGTCATTCGATCTGGTAGCTTTAATTAGACTTGTTTAGGAATTATTCCTGGGTTCACATCTATTTTAGAAATATGGATACAAATAAGGTCTAGGTTTACTAAAACTCTAAATTTTGAAATATAAAATGTAATTTATTGGTATAAAAGTACAGCAAGATCTTGAAATAAATTAATTTCCATAACTTAAGTCTTAGGCTTTCATCTGGAACTCCCTACACAGGAGCAAGCCAGTGCCCTTCCTTAGACAAGTCGCCATACATCCTGGTCCTCCACTGCATTGGGAGGAGTTCTGTCTATCAGAAGGCTCAAGGGTGCTGAAAATGGGAAAACTTTATTAGAGTTCTGCTCTCAAGAGGACACAGAATATGTATCATAACATTCTCAGTAGATCCGTAACTGATAACATCAGTAATAATCAGTTCTGTATACATTCATCATGAAAAGTGAACTAGTGTAATAGTGAGGATATAAACTCACTACTTAAATAAAAGTGAAGCAAAGTTAGATGAAGACTTATCCTGTACAACTAAAGACAGTCACCATGCAGGAGTGATCCTGGATACAATGCACAGGGTTTACCTAAATGACACTAGTTTTGAAGGGGGGGGATAGGAAAAATAAATTTACTCACCATTTACATATGGGTTCATTCCCATCATGTTGACCATGCATCACATGCACTTATGAACACATCAAGACCTTAAAAGAGAGAAGGTGGTTTTAGAACAGTGCAGGTCAAATTATAAGCAACTAAAAAATATGACAAGATCAGATGGCCGTTCAGTGTCAACACCACTTTCAGAACAGGTCTGTGAGAACAATCATCATATTAAAATGAACATCAGGGCAAATAAAAAAATAAACCCACCTTTATTTTCTTTCAGCCACTTTACGGAGAACCTTAGCAAGACCCATAGACCTGGAGATAAAATGCATATTTAGATGGAAGTCTCAGTGCAGGAACTCAAAAATATTCAAAATTTGAAAATCAGATTATGGTATTAACATCAAGTTTCAGATATATGCTTGTCATAGTTCACATCATACTTCTCATAGTATATAAAATATAAGTGGCTGTACTCACCTTAACTTCATAACCAGTCATATCCACTTTATATCAAGGAACCTGAAGCAAGAAAAGAGTCTTCAGAACCAAATAATGAACCATTTCTTTTTTATAACTATTATTCTAGTTCAGAAAGACCAATGCAACTCTGCATAATTAACTAGGATAGGGGCGAAATTACTCATCATTTCATAATAACCATGTACAGGACTGGCCAGGATATTTACCTAGAAGATGATCCTACAACATTCTGAAATCAGGGTCAGCCTCTGAAAGATACCAATCCAATTAATAATTCTGTATATTTATTTACTTTAAAATAATTATAATTTTCTGAAGTGTTGATCTTATCAGGCACACAGCAAGATGTGCTTACCATGCGTTTTTACAAAGAAACATTTAATCTTCCACCATTTGTAAAAAACTCCCACAAGCACTTTAACTTGAGGCAGTCAAGCGTGATTAGTGGTTGAAAGACAACTCAATCTTTAAAAGATACTTTAGCCTAGCAAAGACAAATGCAC